GCTATTTTACCAGCACGGCCGGTATTTAAGGCTCCCTAAGGCTCCCTTAAGGCTTGTAATACCGGCAATACAAATGCAGATATTTTTCTGAGTATAAACTGAGATTACTCTGCAATACCAGCGTCGGCCAGTAGGGGTCACTGTGTGTGTGGAGAGAGGCAGGGATAGGAAGTTACAGCAAATCCCTTCCTGCCTCTCTCTACTGAACATCACAGAGAGTTCAGACAGCAGCTCCCAGCCTGCAAAGACAGCCTACAACTCAGGAAAGTGAAGGATGGGGGGGAAATGCAGCAGGGAAACATGGGGACACTGAGACACTAGGGGACAGCTGGTGTCTCAGTGTCCCCATGGCTCCCAGTGACCCCTAGTCTCCCAGTTTCTATGTCCCAATGTCTCTCAGTGTCCCTAGTGTCTCAGTGTCCCCATGGCTCCCAGTGCCCCCATGTCTCACAGTGCCCCCCAAATGTCTGTGTCCCATGTCTCCCAATGTCCACATGTCTCCCAGCCAGTGTCCCTAGTGTCTCAGTGTCCCCATATCTCTCAGTATCCCTAGTGTCCCCATGTCTCCCAGTGTCCCCAAATGTTTCAGTGTCCACATGTCTCCCAGTGTCCCCAAGTGTCTCAGTGTCCCCATGTCTCCCATTGCCTGTGTTCCCATGTCTCTCAGTGTCCCTAGAGTCTTAGTGTCCCCAAATGCCTGTGTCCCCATGTCTCTGTGTCCCTAGTGTCTGTGTCTCCATGTCTCCCAGGGTCCCCAAGTGTCTCAATGTCCCCTTGTATCCTAGTGACACAGGACACACTGAGACATGGGGACACTGGGAGTAATGAGGACACAGACACTAGAGACACTGACACTGTGATACATAGGGACACTGATGCCAGGCTGGCCTTCCAATTCTTTGGGCAGACATGCCCCCTTTTTGGGCATTTTCGCTCCTTTTGGCAGTTCTGGTCACGTGATTCGTGTCAGTGACCCACTCTTTTACACCGCCCATTGACTTCCTGCTTCACTGGACACTGCTGTAATGCCTCTCTCTCATATATTAGTTTCCCCTTTTTCGTTGCATTACTGAACCAAATGAACTTTTGCACGATATTCTAATTTTTCGAGTATCACCTGTATGATCATACATTGCATAAGCCTGCCACAACGTCAATTTACCCCATGTTTGGCAGATCCTATTGCTTTTATATATATATATATATATATATATATATATATATAGTGCATTGCATGCATTTATAAGAATAGTTTTGAGTATGATTGAATGGTGAATGTGACTAAGTGGTTGGTTGGATGAAAAGTGGGACAGGCTGGGAGAGGGGGTGTATATGTGTGAACATTGCTTGTGGAGTTGTATGTTTTTGGAAATGCTGCTTGTGCGGTTGCCTTTCTGGGGGTTGCTGCTTGCAGTTTTGCATTTGGGAATTTAGTGGGGGATCATTGTGGCTATAGTGGGGGTATATATAGGGGCAGTAGTGGGTGGATAGTGGCGAGAGTGGAGGAAAGTGGGGGATACAGACTGTAGTAGGGTGACTGCAGCTATATAGCAGGGGAATTGGGGCTGTAGTGGGAGGATAGTGGCTATAGTGGAGGAAAGTGGGGGATACAGACTGTAGTAGGGTGACAGCAGCTATAGCAGGGGAATTGGGGCTGTAGTGGGAGGATAGTGGCTACAGTGGGGGATACAGACTGTAGTAGGGTGACAGGGGCTATAGCAGGGGAATTGGGGCTGTAGTGGGTGAATCGTGGGGGATACAGACTGTAGTAGGATGACAGCGGCTATAGCAGGGGAATTGGGGCTGTAGTGGGAAGAAAGGGACTATTGTGGGGTGGATAGTGCGTATAGTGGGGTGATGGTCTATAGAGATGGGACAGGAGCTATAAGGGATGTAGTGAGGGGATAAGGGCTATAGTGGGTGAATAGGGGCTGTAGTGGAAGGAGAGGGACTATTGTGGAGTAGTTGGATATATATAGTGGGACGACATGGGCTGTAGTGGGTATATAGGGGTTATCGTGGGGAGGATAGGGATTATGTGGGATGCATAGTGTGTACACTTAGTGACAGGAGCTGTAGTGGGGGTGCAGGGGCTATAGTATACATGGCTGTATTTAAAAAAAAAAAAAAAACACATGCTATTAATAAATAAATACAGTTTATTACTCCCTCCATAAGGCTTACCTTTGGTGGAGGGGGTGGGGGAAGCAGCATGTCTGGGGGAATGTTTCAGAGAGTTGCCATGGTAATCCATGGCAACGCTCTGATATTGTATAGATTAAGGAAACCAAGCATGGACTCTTATCGCACACTGGCAGCTGGACAAATCTCCCCCATCGGCCTTAGCTACTCAGCAGGAGAATGAGCTGGCCGGTGAAGGAGATCTTTGATCTCCCCACTAGCCATGCCGACCCTCTCCTGCCTCCGAGGCCATGGTCTTCACTTCATTCTCTCAGAATAGGCACAGAAAAGGCATAGTTTAAACTGCAGAGCCAGCAAAGGAGGTTATATGATTCAGAACCACTAGATTAAGCTCTTGTGGTTCTGGTGGCTATAGTGTCCTTTTAAATAAACATCCTGGGCCCCACTAAAACATTCCATTCATCTAAGCCTGCCACAATAGGAGTTTGGAGAGGGGGTGGAATACGTTAGAGAGGAGTTTGTGGAGGAGATCGTGCAGCGTGGACTAATAGTAATCTCTCAAAATGTTAAAAAGGGTAAAAAAAGACATAGAATGGGGGGGTGGAGCCTGACCGTTGAGCTGAGCAGACGCGAGATAGAGTTGCTCCCGCAGCTACAGACGAAAACTACGATAAAGCAGCCAAGAAAGGCACCCAAACGATGCAAAAGTACCACCACCAGTGAGGTGACCCTGTGGGGCACATGCAGATACCAAATAAGCAGCCCATCGGGCACAACTCAGCAAAGCGACACCTGCAGCCTGTAAGCATGGTCGGCACGGGGGAGGTGGCTGCTTCCCTGCAGCCCACTACAGCAGCAATCATGACTAAGGGCCTACGTTGCCCCCCTGTGGGCCGGCGGGTGTTATATCGGTCCCAAGAGGGGCCATCCAGGCAGCGGAGCAGTACCCTCAGGCAGAGCTTGTCAACCCCAAACTGGCGTCCACCGCAACTGAGCCACCAGACACAAAAGAGGGGCCTGATGCCCTTGTGACAAACTGCCATTTGCCACTCGCTTTCTATGCACCAAACTGCTCTGCTCCCCAGGCTTATGGAGAAGCCTGCTTGCCAGCCTCTTGCCACATGACTATGGCCCTGGGGTGTATTGCCCTTTAAAACCATTACTTGGTCTTATGGACTTTTATTTGGACTAGTGCTGACCCTTTAAAAACAGTGTATGGACATATTGAAACTTTTGGGACACTTTTTCTGCCCCTTTGAATCCATGGGAAGGTGTGCCTCTTCCCCTCCCCCTGTCCCATTGTTCTCCAGCATGGCGTTGGGACTGGCTGCTTTGTCCCTCCTCAGTCAACATATGACTCCTACCTATCTCCTGAACCACCTAACCGATTCAAGTGAATTTTGGATATGTTTGTCCCCAAATTATGCTGGTTATTGATATCGCATGTAAACTCACAAAGTTACAAAAATGGCATAAGAGTATGTTTTTTAGCTTGGAGATAATTGAGTTGAGACAGTAATTAACTCAATTATCTCCCAAGCATAAGGGAGGATTCTCATTGTAAAAAGTGGGTGTGCTTATCCATGAGCCTTTATTTTATTGGTTGTTAAATTTACAGTTCCAGTGCCCCACAAGGTCCACGTGGGTGGTAACCTTGCTGAGAAAGTTGTATATAAGAAGGAATAAACGCTCATTGGAGTCAGTTCTTCTTCACCCTCAATCTAGAGTCCTGTCTCTTATTGGGGGTAACCAGCTATATCAATACAAGGGATTGCTATGCTCTGCATGCTCCCTTGGATAATCACTTCTAAGCTCTTTTAAGAGCTTATTCCTGTTTCCCTCTCTTGGAGGAGAGGTTCACCCACTGGAGCCCGGAGCCTTGTCGTAGGTCCAGGGTGGGTAGGAGACGGCGAGACCCCAACCAAGCTACGGCGGTTCGTGGGGTCTGTGGTGGTTGTGGTGTCTGGCGGAGCGTTTGGAGCCCTCTGGAAGCGCTAGAAGCATCCAGTAACGGAGGTACCCAGTCGGGGTGCCAGGGGTCCGTTACAACCCTGTCAAGGCTAAATGCCATATTCGCGGCCTTCTGACGAAAACTCAAGGACCGACAAACCATGGCACAAGGCCCAGAGGTGTACTCACCTCCATCTACACGCTCCCATCATCAAGGCACATGCCAAAAGGGGAAACGAGCACAGAAAAGGCGCCACCTGAAGTGACTCCAGGCAGACTCACACTGGAGCACCCAGCTCAAGCAACCCCTAATGCAAGCCCAAATACAATTCATCCCGACCCACCTCTCGGCCTCTAATCAACACCAGCTCCAAGAAGCACCTGTACCACTACGCAACCGGAGCAGGATAGCAAAGAGGAGAACCCGGGTCCCGGGAGACAAGCACTACTATGGACAAGCAGCGGAGAACTTTAGCCCACACAGCCGAACCCAACGCCGGAACATGGATGAAAGACACCCGACAGCCCAACAACTACGAGACCCAGGGGAGGTTAACCCCCTGCCCTTCAGCTAGAAGCACCTGTCAAGCCTCAAGAGCCGGCATCGGTTGAGCAAAGAGGACTGAGTGGGGGAAAAGTGCTAGTACCGACCACCAAAGGCCCAACCAGACCACCGGTAGCCAATTTGGGCATTCATAAATATCCAAGACATTTTAGCCTTACCACCAGATAACTCCAGCAACTGCTCAGAATACACGAGACTCTCTACACATTATAACCCTACCGTTATAACCAGACTTAAGCAAGCATAACGCATCTCCTTTATTATTTAAGCACCAGGTCCCCTACATAACTTACATGACTAATTTAGCAGACACAATAACGTGTTATTATACTCCTAGTTGATGCATTGGTCCCCTTCTGGCTATATGCAGGTGTGTTACACTATAGTCTAACAGTGGATACACGAATACTATAGCATTTTTATAACTAGCCTAGTATAATGTTACTTGACGATATTGGTATGTAATTCCTAACCTAACATGTCTCCTAGCCAAACAAATCCTATTGCTACGTTTGCATCTAACCTGTATTATGACCCCGGCTGGATGGACCCGACGTGAAATCTTATTACCCTGCTTAATATTCCACTCTACACCTTTAACCCCTTAAGGATACAGTTTCAGAAATTAAATGGAATCATGACGGAATATTTCCATCATGTGTCCTTAAGAGGTTAAAAAGGTTATTAATGTTACCCTGTCAGTCAGTTTAGCCTGCTTACTACATCATTATGTTTTATTTGCCGACTATTACACTACTGTTCCTAACCTGTTATTCCAATATAAAAACCGTGCAGGTTCTACGTATGCCAGGCTATTGATATATTTTGCCTGCTTTCACTCGGCTTGTTACACCTGTCATGGAGTACCAAGCATGTATGTTTACACTTGCACAATAAAAATAAAGAATTTAAAAAAAAAAAAATTATAATACATAATATTTTTTAGTAGAGGGGTGAATTGCCTACCTAACAAAAAATAAAATAAAAATCATGATTGAAAATCTTAATATTGTAACATGGAGATTATGATTTAGAGTCATACAGAGTAACTCTAAAAGTAAAACAGTGGCAAGAGATTCCATGTGTTTCCATAGTAACTGCCCATTATTAGAACCTTGCCCCAGAATGTTTGTATTTGCAGTAGATGAATAGCCTATCCCTCTGTAACAAATTACATCATGTGGGGGAAGTATAAAGCTACTACGTCAGCATGACGTCCTGCAGGAGGAGGAGAGAGAGACAAAGTTTGTGATCACCTAGTAACGTGTTGCTACAAAGGCTGGACAGTAAAACTGACACTTAGTAGCTGCAATGGCCCCTTCTACAATGGAGAAACAAATGCATGGGGGCACAGGGACCCCAGCCTCCTATCAGTACAGTGTGAAGGTCAAACTGAAGGAGTCAGGGGAGAGATTTACAGTGTCCAGGTGTAATCATCACATGGAGTTTGCAGAATTGAAGGACAGATTGGAGTTGGTGGCAGGGATCCCAGTCCATTCACAGAGGCTGTCCTACATCGATGAAGGTACAGACACAATTCTGAAAACATAAATCAACTGCTAAGGGCTTAGAGCAAAGCAAGGTCCATATTCATTTACCCCTCCATCATTAGTTAGCTCACAGTTAAGTAAATAAACCCCTTGGATAGTTGGCTATTATTTATACTCAAATATTATGGTTAAATTTGATACTTTTTGAAGTTTAGATTATCACTTCACCGTTGCTGAATATTTAGTAAATCCCACCAAGATTAGACAGACAGATAAATTGATAGATATATATGCAGTGCTTTCCAATACAGCTCTATCATGTTATATATTTAGTAATGAATCTGTCCTATCTCCACTATTTTGATGTAAGCAGTAGTTTTGGTGGTAGTAATATTTATTCATTTATTAACTTTTAAATTGTTTTTTTTTATTTTTGGTCTAGTGCTATATACATATAACATAAGATAGTTCAAAATAGGTTAAAGGAGTCAATAACTATTTTTATTAATGAACCAATTTCAGTGATATTACATACAATGAATGAGCTACATTTGCTGCCTCGCAAAGTCGGGATCTTTAAATCGCATTGTTCATAACATTAATGTTTGAGGCTCTAGCGCTCGAATTTCTACCCGATAACCTCCTGCTTGGTGACCCCGCACCAGACGGTGCATTTGGTAGGGTGCTACCGGCGCTGATGAATTATGTACCCCAGAAACAACAGTTTTGCTTATTGACAAAGTCATATGAACAAAAATGAGCTTTGCCAGACACAATGAGTTGATGAATAAATTCATTGTTTTCTCTGGCTAATTCGTTGATCCTTTGTAAAATTACCCATAATGAAACTCCCAAGACTCAGGTATAATATATACCTGCAACAAAAGTATTGAACTTCTAATAAGTTATCTGTCAGTTCCTACTCTGAGTTTTGGCCAACTCTGTATAAACATATTTTAAAAAACTTTTATATGTACTAGTAACTTAAAAAAAAAATTTAAAAAAAATTTAAAGCCTATGATTCCCTTTATAGTCATATTCGATTTAAAAGCCACAGTCTAGAACCTAACCCGCTGTATTAGCGAGGTGCGCCTGTATTTTGGTCACGTCTCTTCCAAAGTAATTAAATGCCCGGGTGGAGATCCCGCAAACAGAGGTGGAAAGCACTCAAGGTTCTGAAAATAAGAAAGCAGATTTATTCACCTGAAGCAGAAATGTACTTTAGCTAATATAGGGTTAATACGTTAGTTAAATGGAACAGTTTGCTATTTAAACCCTTTGGCATTCCCCTCCACTGTTTGATGAGTAAATATGCAATTTTTGATGTTTTTTTTCCCCCTGAATGATTTTACCATTCCATCTGCGCTCTAGAGTGATCTATAAACCACTCAAACGTCTCTCTTAATGACATTGTCTTCAGTCTCTATAGACAAATAGATAGTATACCTTTTAAATAAATTGCTGACTTTCATTTTAGGGGATATTCCTGATACGTCTACATTTAAAAGTAGTGGAATTATTCCGGGAGGAACTATCTCTCTCAGCGTTTGGCACCATGATGGGTGGAGCGATATTGTGAAAGCAGCGACAAAAGGAGATTTGCCACAGGTAATCTTATAGGTGCCAACAGCCCTGATTTTGCCAGGACAGTCCTATATTTTGTTGTATTGTTTCTGCAAAAACGGGTTCTGGAAACGTGACCCGCGTTCAGAAATCTGTCCTGAAGTTTAAACTTTTGGGCAGATTTTATGATGCAGGAGGAGACAATGCACTAGGACTATACACAGAGCTAGTCAGCTGTGCTCCATGCACAGTCTGCCTTGAGGGGGTAGGCTGTCAGATAGAAAACGGAAGCTTCACCCATTGTGACTGCTGTTTTAACTTGTTTCCATGGTGATTTCCCCACTTGTAGTGCTTTGTATAACTTTTCTCCCCCATAATGTTTAATGTTTGTTGGTCAACAGAGGGACTCCTCCTATCTCTGTATTTTCTCCTCCTGTCTCTGGAGATGAGATTTCATCCATAATATACAAGAATCCTTACAGCTAATATAATTGAGCACACATCCTTAAAGGAGCACTCAAAGCATAATACACTGCAACTCACTGTTGTGGTGATGGTGCCAGGAGTGCCATGGCGCCACCCTCTAGTTTAAAGGGACACTATAGGCACCCAGACCACTTCAGCTTATTGAAGTGGTGTGGGAACAGTGTCCCTGTTGCACTTAGTGCTGCAATGTAAAACATTGCATTTAGAGTTACAGAAAACTGCAATTTTTACATTGCAGCACTAAGTATGCCTTCAGGGTCTGTCCTTCAGCACTAAATCTGCCTCCAGGGTCTGTCCTTCAGCACTAAATCTGCCTCCAAGGTCTGCGACCCACAGCCAAGTGACATCGGCATTGAGATCAGGTAAGTAACTAAAGGGTTTTTAACCCTTTAATCACTGGGATGGAGGGGGGCTAGAAGGAGCTATAGTACCAGGAATACAGCTTTGTATGCACTATAGTATCCCTTTAAGAAGTCAAACTGCTTTTGTCTCCACCAGGTACTGGAAGAGGAGAGAGGCTCAGAGTGATCAGCTGACATTCTCAGCCAATGAGTGGGTGGCTGTGATTGGCTGATACTGTCACCTGACCGCTTTTAGCCTCTCACAGTTCCCATACAGATATGAAATCAGTATGGCTACAAGGAAGTGTGTAATATCTGCAGTGGAGGTGGAGCTATGGGAAGCCAGGGACCCTCATTCCATTTTAAACCGCTTGAAAATGGTTTTGCCAGGGGACTTCAGGCACTTTAACCAATTCAATGAGATAACATGTTTATAGTGCCTACAGTGTTCCTTTAAGATAGCAACAATACATTTTCTAATGTTATCTCAAAACAAAGGCATCAAAACATCTCTATGAGAAGCTCTCACGTTTGCTTTGTGCTGGGGCGCAAATAAACCAGGTTCTGATTGACAGTTGAGAGGAAGCCACCGAGAGGGAACCCTCCGTTATTGCTTTAGGGGTGTGTAACGGACCACCTTCCTTTAATGGACGCTTCCTAGCTTGCGCCGAGGACCACAAGCACCGCACTGGACACCACAACCACCGCAGACTCCACAACCGCCGTAGCTTAACTGGAGCCTCGTCGTCTTCCGTCCACCCTGGATCAGCTTCTGTCCTCCAGTACCATGTGGGGAAGACCTCTCCTCCAGGAGAGCGTATCAGGAACAAGCTCTTAAAAGAGCTAAATGATTAAAAGCTCAGGGGAGTATGCAGAGCGTAGCAGCTCCCTCCAATAACGAGACAAGGCTACATATTGAGGGTCAAACAGGATCTGAGGTTTAATGACACACACTCTGCTTTTATGCAATTCTCCCCTGCGAGGGAAACGCCCACGGACAATTATACAATACCCAATCACACAATGGTTACATCCCACACATCTCCTCCCCTTAGCCTGAGAGGTAGCCCAATTATCCATACCTTTTTAAAACATACTTTTTACCCAACTTTCATAACTCTAAAGCCATACATCCAATATTAATTAAAAAACATATTATTAATCAGCACATTCGAAATACAAACATACCCAAAAATCATTTGAATCCGTTCAGCCGTTTGGGAGATACATATAAGTCACTTTTGACCGACCGCAGGCACATTTTCATGCCCAAAACAGTTCCATGGATTTGGGCTGTGCGGTGGGTCTATTTTACACTGAGAAAATGACTAAGTCCCATTCGAACAAGCGTTCGAATCTTCGAATGGAACTTAGTCTCCAGCCGCAGTGTCGAAGTAGAGTAGAATGTACGGGTCAGCGGTGTTTGTGCAATTGGGTAGCCGAAAACAGTTCTATAGATTTGGCTGCACATACCGCTGACCGCGTTCGAATGAGTTAAAATGGCCGCAGCCACGTGTTCGGTATTCGAATGGCGACGACTTTGACACTTCGACACTTACTTCGACACTTACTACGACACTTCGACACTTCGACTGCATCCAAAGTGCCAGTTTAAAAGTACAAATCCTTTCTTTGGGCATTAAAGGGCCAGAAACAGCAATATAAGCCTCCAGTATGCCCACATCAGTTCCTAGAAGGGCAATACATCCCAGGGCCATAGTCGCAGGGCAGGAGGCAGGCAAGCAGGCCTCTCCAGGACAAAGTGGCGAAGGGCACTTTGTCACAGGGTGTAAAGTGTTTCTTATTAAAAACTGGGTTTGTTTACTAAGCAGTTAATTGTAAGGACTTGAAACCCAAATTGTCAAAATCAAGCTAATTTCACCAAACTGTGACAACGACTAACACTTTGAATTCTAAATTTAGTAATCAAATCTGTAAAATTTTAGAATTTTATGCGTGTCAAGCAGACAAAGGTGAAGGTGAATCCAATATACTCAAAATTCGATGATAATACACTACTTGTTTTTTTTACCTAAAATGTTCATCCCCTAGAACAGGGATGGGGAATCTTCGGCACTCCAGATGTTGTGGACTACATCTCCCTTGATGCTTTGCCAGCGTTATGGTTGTAGGAGCATTATGGGAGATGTAGTCCAAATCATCTGGATGGCCAAAGGATCCCTGCCCTAGAACATCGTGTCATGTACCTTTAAATACCTTCCAAGAACAGGTCAGAGGTCCTACACCCTCCTTCATCGAGGCTGGGAGGATGCCTTAGAATTTGTCCCTTCTGGCAATGGATCCACTCGATCCTCACTCGAATCTTAGACTAACCTCCACTTTTCCATTCCTGTTCCACCACACAAATACCACCACAGCTGACTTTATTTGACAAAGAGTTTGATACTTTCCTGGCCTAAACCAGCCCCTGTGGAGATATGGTGTTGACAAATGCAGGAATTGCGCTGCATGACGAAAGAGATCTTTACTGCGACTGGTAGAGAGCAGACATATGTGGTGATCTGGTCGAAGCGCTATAATTTGAATCTACCTATTTTGTTGTCTGCCCCCTTCTGCTCATTCCCCCTGTGAGTGTTTCAATTATGAGTTTTACTTACCTTTACCACCTTGCCGTGTTGGTCTCGCTGCATCCCATATGGAAGCACTGGGAAGCTAGTCTACATGCACGGCGAATTGCCGCCCTGCTGCAATCAAATTCTCTTTAGGAGCAGCGTTTGTTGAGAACCAAGTTTTACTCCATTCTGGAGAAGGAAGGGCCTCTAGTGGTTTGTCAGGAAGACCGTAACTAGAGGTGCGTTTAACCTTGCAATTAAAAAAGTCTATGTTTTATGTTGCTGGATTGAACCTAAAGGGCCACTGTACCCAGACCACTTCATTGAGCTGAAGTGGTCTTGGTGCCTTAAGTATTAAACATCAACCCCTTTAGTTTCTAGACTTTTGAAGATTTTATTATGCTAGGTTCAGCTGAGGGAAGGAACATCATTTGTATCATTATTTTTTCTTTTTTTAACAGCTGAAATGTTTGGGAGTCACTCCTGATTCATCCTTCAACACTCCGAATTCCTTGAGGTTAGACTTTGAACAGAAACAGGAATGGATAGCTTCAAGAGCAAGTGTGGCCCTCTACATTGCTGCCCACCGAGGCCACCTGGGTATGGTACGATACCTATTGAAGAATGGTAAGATCATTTCTACTAGTGTTTGATTTTGCATGTCTCCACATGTATCACATTAGCTCCTTTTAAAGGAACATTACAGGGTCAGGAACACAAACATGTATTAATGACCCTGGAGTCTTAAAACCACCATCTATCCTTTACTCCAGTCTGCTGCTGTTGGCTCTGCCCCTGATCTGCCTGCTTGGCTGACATAATCAGAAGTGGTGATCTGAGCCAATCACAATGCTTTTCATAGGAAAGCATTGGATTGGCTGAGATTGTCAAGGATGCGTATCAGGGACAGAGCAGGCACAAGCCAAACACAGCCCTGCCTAATCAGCACCTCCTCATAGAGATGCACTGAATCAATTCATCTCCATGAGGAAAGTTCAGTGTTTCCATGCAGAGGGTGGAGACACTGAATGTCAGTCACACTGTGCAGCACTGCCCCAGGAAGCACCTCTAGTAGCCATATGAGGAGTGGCCAGTGGAGGTATCCCTAGGCTGTAATGTAAACACTGCATTTTTTTTTGTCTGAAAAGACAATGTTTACAGCAAAAAGCCTGAAGGGAATGAATATACTCACCATAACACATAAGCTGCAGTTGTTCTGGTGACTATAGTGTCCCTTTAACGAATTCATACTTTCTAGAGCCTGGAAGAACATAGAACGTCCCCCCGTGGGCAGCTTTGTCTGGGTTTTTTAAAGCTGTGAATTAATATACTAAATAGAAAATTAATTCCACACTGATATTCACAAACGGTAAAAGAAAATTGAAATATTTCTTCACTGATTGGTACTAAATTTAAAAATATATATATTTTTTAAAGGCAACAGAAAAATGCATAAATAGATGGATCGATATTCCATTACCATCGGCGTATTAAGTGGATAGTAGTATTTACCATTTTAGTGGTACATAGCTTCTTGTTTGAGCCTAGAGCTATTGTTAATAAACTAATGATCTCCAGTCTGGACTATTGCAACACATGTTTTTATTAATCTGTTGCATAGTTACCTTGTCTTTTTCACTTAAATGTTGTTTTCAGACTTTCCTTGTTTACCGGTTGCTGTTCTGAGACTGCAAAACTCACTTTGTCCCCTTACTGACTCACCGTATTGTTTAGAATTCAATAGAGAAGACTGCTTTCAACCTGCCAAGCTCTTATGCAAACGTCATGGCAACCTGACCCTTCACTCCACTAACAATATCCGAATGTCCTCTACTTGTAGTCCTGTCTCTAAATCCAATGTATTTCACTGTATTTTGTTTGTGGGTTTATTTTCAGTCCCGCTGCCCACCTGCTTTTTTGGTAAAAATGTAAGTTAATTTTACAAAAAAAATACAGATTTAATAGTTAATAAAAGTAAGATATTATTTGAGACACTTGCTGTATTTTTACTAGGATTAGGCAGCATTCTGTTACTTAACCTGGTTATTAAAGGGACACTATAGTCACCATAACCACTACAGCGTAATGTAGTTGTGCTGGTGTCTATAGGCTGTCCCTGCAGGCTCAGCAATGTAAATGCCTTTTCAGAGTGGCAAGACCAGAGGGGTCTTGATGGGGTAAAGTAAAGAAAAATACGGGTTTATGCCATTCCGAAGGGGGCCAGTAACCTAAACAGGTACCCCAGCACTATAGTGTTATGAATATATGTTTCTATACCTAACACTATAGTGTCCCTTTAAGTAGAAGAGGTGTACCTCTTTAAGATTATGTATTGGTTTAAAAATATATATATTTTTATATATATATATTTAAACCTTATAATAGTACTGTGTGGAAATTGCTCAAACTTTATTTAATCGTATTTTCTAAGGCCATCACAGAGCTACGTCAAAGAGATTTGGAGTTATTTTGAGACTAAAGGCCCTCTGAAATAGAACCTTCAATTGCTCTAATTTTGTTTTCACAATTTTTTACAAAATAATTAACATCTCCCAAAACATATATTTGAAAAAAAAATTTAGTTTTAACATTGATGATTTATAGGCAAAATCATGGGTCTATTATCATACAGTCTCTTTAAAGGATATAAAGATATGATGACACTAAATTCAGAACCTTAAAGCTTATGTTGAAATTTAACAAACAACCAGTCGTACACAGATGAATGTTATGCTCTTCATAAGAAATCCAATGAAAACCACAAGTTTATAGACATTTCAAATGTGGATATTTGTCTAAGCATTGGTTATATCTATATTCTTAAGTGTCAGTTGTTGGTACCTCAAAAAAGTGGGTACCTCAAAAAAAAACAAAAAAACTTTCAAAGTAGAACAATCTGAATTGAAATGGACATGAATAAAGGCCCCTGTACCCATCAATGTTGGGAGGCTAATGAGAGCTTAAAATGGGAACTGCCACTCTCGAAAGTGTCATTTTATCAGATTGAGGCACTGCGGCAGTATTCCAGATGTTTGTGAAATCTTCTCCCATGTAATGGATGAGGAGTGTGCGGAGAAGTACATTTCCTGTCAGAGTATCCCAGTTGAAATAATTGTGTCCCCATCCCACAGCCCAAGTGATGTTTGAACTGGGTGGGCAATATGACTCGGTTTGTCTTATACCCTCCACCATGTATTGAGTGTAGGGCATTGGGGGGGGGGGACACTGGACTTGCCACCCACTATAAAAAGTGCTAGCACACCTCAGAGGTTTAGCGTTGGAATAAGTGTACAGAAATTCATATTTTTCAAGTGTTGATGGAAGAAACCTCTATGCTTACCTAGATTTGAATAATATTCCAAGGCAATTTGTATGAATTTTTTATTATACTCGCAATACATTAAAAAGAAAACGGTTGTGCTATCTTGTTATGTCCATTTAATCATTGGATAGTCTACTTTGAGTTGATCCTTTCTGTGTTCATCTTGTAATGGTTTTATGTTGTATTTGTGAGTCATTCTGGTGCCAGTTTACTGTAATTTGGTGTCATTTCAGGTGCCAACATACTAGCCAAAACCCCACTGGGGAACAGCGCTTTACACGTGGCAGCAGCTATGGGAAATGTTGACTGCATTAGCGAACTTTTAGCCTATGGCGCTCAAACCAAAGACACTAATAACGAAGGGCTCACGGCACTGAACCTGGCAAGCATTTGGGGACAAAAAAAGGTTGAACGCCATTTATTCCTTTTCCAGTGGAAAGAGAGAGCAGCCAGCGTGAAAATTAAGGCCCATCTGGATCCATCTGAGCTTTTCGCTCATCAAAAGTTTGATTCAAAGCTAAAATCCTGGCGATGTGGCTCTCAAGCCAAACGTTACATGGCCAATCTGGTACATCACAAAGACTTTGAAGGTACAGCGATTAACGCTCCCAAAAAACAGACTGATGGCAAAGCAAAGATCCGCATATTCAAAGGAAATACCACCAAACTGCAATCTGACAGATCGTAGTAGGACCGACAACATACCCCAAAAGGACAGAAGGTTTTACAGTAAATATTTTACCACAACCACACCACGTTCAAGCCATAGAACATAGAAACATGTTCCATCGTTTTAAAACTATCTAGATTTCAAATTTTGATAAATAAACATATGAAATACAATATTTCGATAATTGTGGCTTGTTATTTAAGTGTGGTTTTAATCAAGTGAGCAAAAAACACAGTCATCTAATCTTTCACAAGCCAAGGTATTTTGTAAAAAAAGAAAGTTCACAGTACCCAATTTCGCACAATCTTCATTTTGCAAATTTAGGGAAAAACAAAAACTACAATAAAATTATTATTTTTATTTTTTTCAAATATCTGAAGGATGACTGACTGTATTTAAATATGATCAGTGACACTTTTGTCCAATGTCATTCACATACACTTACTCTAGCTGTTGGGTTTCCATATTTGTGTGGGTGGCATTATCAGTTCTCCAGACTGCGTAGGCAGATATTGAAATTAATGCCCCTGATGTATACGGAATTCATGTGTTCCTAGGGTGAAATCAATTAAATAATTACATCCGGGATCATAATGGGAGTCATGTGACTAATTGAACTGATTTCACACAAGAAGAACATGAATTTTTTTACTGCCCAGTAGAATGTTAAGTTGGTTTGTGTCACACGTAAATATGGTGAACTGATATTCCTAACTACTGACAAAAAAATAAAGACACTGGGCACCTCCCAGCTAAAAACACATGCAGTTTGAAATTTAAACATAAATTACCTGCTAATTGGAACAGGTCAAGAGGTAGAGAATAAGGCGTACGCTGTAGGCTATAACAGAATGGCACAATCATAAAACAAAACATGGCAACAAAGAAAAAACTGAAATGACCCCTGTTCAAAAATCTGCAAACCCGTAGTTCTTAATACTGTGTATTACCCCCTTTAGCATCAATGACAGCATGCAGTCTTTTGTAATAGTTGTCTATGAGGCCCCTAATTCTTGTAGGTGGTATAGTTGCCCATTCGTCTTGACAAAATGCCTCCAGGTCATACAAAGTCTTTGGCCGTCTTGCATGAACCGCACGTTTGAGATCTCAAACTTTTGAGCACAACTGTACAATATATCTCTTTGCTTCACTAAAAGAGCTTTAACCTTAAAACAAATTGAACAAAAAACATGTAATATGAAATTGACATAATGCTGGAACTTGTATTAGGAAATAAATGCAATTTCAGACAGAGCTCTGGGACATTCATAAAACAAATCCCTACATGAGTCTATTTTCCCATGAAGATCACTCACCTC